TTTTTCAAAAGAACAAATGTAGCCAGGTCTTGGTGGCTCACACCTGAAATCTTAAGCTACTCAGGAAGCTGAGAGCTGAGGATCTAGGTTTAAAGCCAGCCTGAGCAGAAAAGTCCATGAGACTCTTACCTGTAATTAACCTGCAAAAAGCTGGAAGTAGAACTGTGACTCAAGTGGTAGAGCACTAGCCTTGAGCATAAAGGTAAGCAAAAGTCCCTGAGTTCAAGCCTCAGTACTGATACTAGATAAATAAATATCTTTTTTTCCTTTTAAATTATCTTTAAGTAGTTGTACAAAGAAGTTCCCATTCTAGAAAAGAGTATATGACTACAAAGTGTCTGCTGGGAAGGTGGCTCAGTGGTAGAGTGCTTGCCTTGCATGCATGAAGCCCTGGGTTCAATTCCTCAGCACCACATAAGCAGAAAAAGCCCAAAGTGGCGCTGTGGCTCAAGTGGTAGGGTGCTAGCCTTGAGCTGAAGAGCTGAGGGACAGCACCCAGGCCCAGAGTTCAGGCCCCATGACTGACAAAAAACAACAACAACAACAAAGTATCAGACAATACTGTCACCCATCGCTCCTAACCTACCCCTTCTAAATTTCTTAAACTGGGTTTGGAGGCCTGTGCCTCCCAATGCTTGGGAAGTTGAGGCAGGAGGATCTTGTTTTTGTTTTTGTTTTGGGTCCAGTCCTGAGGCCTGAACTCTGGGCCTGGGCGCTGTCCCTCAGCTCTTCAGCTCAAGGCTAGCGCTCTACCGGCTTTTTTCTTTTTGCTTATGTGGTGCTGAGGAATTGAACCCAGGGCCTCATGCATGCAAGGCAAGCGCTCTACCACTGAGCCACCTTCCCAGCCCAGCAGGAGGATCTTGAATTTTAGCTGGACAACCAGGGTTATAAAGTGACATAGTGACCTACTGTTTCACCTTGATGAATGAATCAATGATTTAACCTTACCTTCTGCTACTTGCCAATAGGAATCTCCTTTGCTTCAACCTGTTTCTTCACTTTCCAGCCTCATTTTTCCCGACAGGTCACAAATAGTTCCTCCTGGCTATCCTAACTGCTCCTAACCGCCCCTCACGCCCCCCCCCCCCCCCCCCCCCACTAAAATAGCATCTAGCTTCTCAGCTCTCACCCCTGACCACAGAGTTTGGTTCTTTTCATGTTATTTCATCTCAAAATCTCTTCCTTGTCTCTGCCCTTCTCCTAGCCCCCTCTCCTTTCTTTTATCTCTCATATCCCTGATATCACTGACATTCAGTGTGAGTGCTTCCTTCTTACTCTTAATTGATATGACACAAATTCAGGCCCCTTTCTACCTAACTGCAAGCTCCTTAGTAGAAGAGCCTGTACCATAGACCTCATTCCCAGACTTGGTTCACAGGAGTTTCTCAAGGGTTTTGGCTGCTGTTGACAAATAGTGTATTAATTAAAAATCTGTTGGGTTGCAGAACTGAACCAGTTATTTCAACAAGTAAAAAAGGAACTCACTGACCTACATTACTAAAGAGCCCAGGCTAAACCTGGGAACTTACTCTTGATGTCTACAGTTCTTTTGACTTCCTCTGCTTGTCTTCATTCTTAGACAAGCCAGATGGACTTCAGGCTTACATTCTATTGGTTTAGTACTATCAGGGAAAGAGAATTATTCTATTACAACAGTTCCAGAAAGAGTTCTAGAAGTGATCTCACTGGCATGTTTTGAATTAATTACTATGACAGATAGAATGCTGTTAGACGGCATCAGGGACTGCATCATCCTAGATGAATTGCAGGCCTTGGTTACAGAGCTATTCCTAAATTTAGGATGGGATTATTTTCTCTTAGCTACATAAATGAGAATAGTTCCCCCCCCCCCCCAAAGAACTTTGCCAGCTGGGGACTATTTGGGCACACAAAAAAGGAAAAGATGGCCGGGCGCTGGTGGCTCACGCCTGTAATCCTAGCTACTCAGGAGGCTGAGATCTGAGGATCGCGGTTCAAAGCCAGCCCGGGCAGGAGAGACCGTGAGACTCCTATCTCCAATAAACCACCAGAAAACCGGAAGTGGCGCTGTAGCTCAAGTGGTAGAGCGCTCGCCTTGAGCTGAAGAGCTGAGGGACAGTGCCCAAGCCCAGAGTTCAAGCCCCATGACCGACCAAAAAAAAAAAAAAAAAAAAAAGGAAAAGATGTAAACTTTAAGGATTTCTGGTATACAGCTTCAGAAGTACCTGAAGCTATCTTAGGTCTGTTTGCACATTAGAATTTTAGGACAATAGATTTGCTCTAACTAACTGCCCAGGCACACTCTAAGGATACTAGGCTGGGCTAAGGATACATAGTCAGTGCTGGTATTCCCACATTGAGGACAATTGTGATCTGGTTGATCTAAGGTAAAAATCTTTTTTCCCCACTGCTCTTCACACAAATCTGCTGTACAGTCATGGCTAAACATTTCAACTCTGGAAAAGGATGTTCTACTGTAGCTGAAAAGATTCAGATTAGCTCTTAAGGATAATATCCTTAATGCATCTCTCCCTTACTCTGTACAACTTTTCAGACCAGTTTTCGTTTTTTAAGACTGAGGATTGGTAGAGAATGTAGATGATGCTGTGGGTCCAAAGCCCCTAAAAATAATCACAGCTACTGTTTATCGAATGTCAACAGCAAGACAAACATTGTGCACTGGAACCCTACAGGTGGCAGCCTCATGTAAAGGTCATATTTCCACCCAGGTACTCGTAACATTAGCCCATTTTACAGTCCAAGAAAGTGAGGTAGGTAAAGTTTGGCTAGAGTACTCCAAAGGAGAGTGACAGATGGGATCCTCTGACACATGGCCTGTCTGGCCTTCCTGTCCTCTAACCGAACACTCAGAGAAGAGAGGGTGCTTCATTACTACCTCTAAGCAAGTTCAAATATATAGGAGTACACTGTTCAAGCTCAAATATAAAAGAGACCTGGTCCTTGCTAGATTCCTTAAGTAGATTATTTTATAAGAAAATGGGGGAGGGGCTGGGAAGGTGGCTCAGTGGTAGAGCGCTTGCCTTGCATGCCTGATGCCCTGGGTTTGATTCCTCAGCACCACATAAGCAGAAAAAGCCGAATGTGGCACTGTGGCTCAAGTGGTAGAGCGCTAGTCTTGAGCTGAACAGCTGAGGGACAGCGCCCAGGGCCAGAGTTCAGGCCCACAACCAACAACAAAGAAAAAAAAAAAAGAAAATGGGGGAGAGGGGTGACTCTAGATTCATTCCTCTGAATCTAGTCTCATCTTCCCTCTCCCCCGCTGGAAGCTTCTACTCCGACCCGGGAAGCTAGTCTGGCGCTGCCCTTCCTCTTCACCCCCAGCCCCCACGATCTGCTTTTTTAATTAAGAAACAACACCTCCCCTAGACTGAGAGCGGGAGCAGAAGCCTTGACTTCCCGGAATCCCGGGCTCCTTGAGGGGTGGGGGGGGGCCGGGAGGGCTTCCCCGTTCCGGTTCTGCTCCCGAGGGCGCTGCGGAAGCCGCCGCCCCAGCACCCCAGGCCTGGGCCCCGCTCGGAGAGAGAGGAGGATTATCCCGAAGCCGGGGCGCCCTGGCAGGGACGCCTCCCCGGGGACTGCGGGGAAGGCCCACGCCGCGGCGCCTGCTCAGTCCGCGCTCACTGCGTCGAAGGCTCCCCCGGCCTGGCTCGGCGCCCGGCGCAGCGGCTGGGCGGGGAGCGCGGAGGCGGCGGAAGAGCCCGCTCGGCGGGGGGCCCGGGAACGCAGACCACAGGAAGCCTGCAGGGGGCAGCACCGCGCCGCTCAGCGCGCCCTTCCCCTAGCCTCGCCCGGGGGTCGCCCAGCAGCCCGCAGGCCCCTCTGCAGAACCCCGCAGGTCCGCTCCGCCGCTGCCTGGACTAATAAATTGGTGGAGACATGCCCCCCCCCACACACAAAAACAGCTTCTGGTGGGAACTGAACTCGCGACTCAGGCAATCGGGTCCTGCCATCCAGGCCCCGGGGGCGACTTGTTTTTGCCCTGTAGAGACCAGAGAATAGCTTTTCGCTTCTTAATGGCCAAAAAAGGGGCCCCCCAACGGTCCTAGCCAATTGGCCAGGTGACGGAGACGCAGGCGTCCCACCGCTACGTAGTGTCCTAAGAACCGTGTGAACACCACCGTCTCCGAGCCTCAGTTTCCCCACTGACATCTAGGAAGTCACCGTGCCACTGGTGAAAACCGCGGCTCAAGGCCCCGCCTCTCGGGGACGGCCTCTGCCCCGGCTGGCCCAGCTGCTCCTCCCCTGCGCTCCCCGCCCGCTCCCACGGTCCCTAAGGTGGGCGGGCGGGTCCTGGACGACGGCTGCAGAACCTGGGCCCAGGCCCGGCCCGGCTCGCCCTCGCCCCCGCTCCGGGTCTGGGCTTCCCCAGTCCAGTTCGCGCCCGGGGGCCGTCTGAGCAGCTGCGCGCCCGGCGCTACGCTCCCCGCGCCCTCCCCACGCGGGCGTCCCCGGTTCCTTGCGCGCTCCCGGACTCCCGACTGGGAACCAGCGAGGGGGGGGGGGGAGCGAGCGCGGGAGCGACACACTGCGACCCGGAAACACCAAATAAGGAGCAGGAAGGATCCCCCGCCGGAACAGCCCTTATTTGGGCATTGCCTAATATGGAATGGCCCGATATGGCCCTGCCGCTTCCGGCTCGGGGAGGAGGGGGGGGGGGGCGAAGGGGCGGAGGCAACTCTGAGAACTCCGGAGCCCTAGGTCCGGGAGTGGCCCGGCTGCGGCTCGGACACTAAGCTTCTCCGAAGCCTGGGCGCTGAAGATGCGGCAGCAGGCGCGGGCCCCGGGGTGTAGGCTGTAGGCGCTCCAGGATGGGGGGTTGGGGTGGGCTTCACGTCACTCCGGGTCCTCCCGGCCGGTCCTGCCATATTAGGGCTTCCTGCATCCCATATATGGCCATGTACGTCACGACGGAGGCGTGCCCGAACGGTTCCAGACCCTTGAAATAGAGGCGGATTCGGGGAGTCGCGAGAGATCCCAGCGCGCAGAACTTGGGGAGCCGCCGCCACCCGCCGCCGCCAGCTTCCTCCGCCGCAAGACCGGCCCCTGCCCAGCCCGCGCGGCACGCCGGGTCCACCTCGGCCCGCTGCAGCCGCGAGCCTGGGGATCCCACCTGCGCTCTCCCCACTGTGCCCCGCATGTGACCCGGCCAGCCCCCCGCGAGCGTGTCCCCTATAGCTCCGGCCCCGGGGCTTGCGCACACCCGCCCCCAAACAACACCAGTTCTCCAGCCCCCCTTGTCCGGGATGGCCGCGGCCAAGGCGGAGATGCAGCTGATGTCCCCGCTGCAGATCTCCGACCCGTTCGGCTCCTTTCCTCACTCGCCTACCATGGACAACTACCCCAAGCTGGAGGAGATGATGCTGCTGAGCAACGGGGCTCCCCAATTCCTCGGGGCCGCTGGGGCCCCAGAGGGCAGCGGTGGTAACAGCAGCAGCAGCGGGGGCGGTGGCGGTGGAGGCAGCAACAGCGGTGGTAGCAGCAGCAACGCCTTCAACCCTCAGGGGGAGCCGGGAGAAGCACCCTACGAGCACCTGACCGCAGGTAAGCCGTGGCCTCTGCCGAGGATGAGCCCTTTCGCCACCATCCTGACGCCCTTCACCACGGGGCTGCTCCTGGACCTCGGGGATACAATTGGGGTTTCCCTTGAATTTTCCGCATTCTCGGGATCTTATATTGGAGGGATGCCCGGGGACACTCCCCCCCCCCCCCCAGCCCTCTCCTAGCGGTGCGCAGAGGACGGAGCATTTGTTTTGGATGGAGAGCGCTGGCGCTGCGTGGGTGGGTGGAAAGGGGGAGGGCTTGTTTTGATGAGCAGGACTGCCCCCCCCTTCCAGAAAGGCTCGCGTTTGCCTGCTGCTCGTCCCTCAAGGGAGGGACGACATCCAGGGACAGGATGTCCTGGTGGTCTATGGTAGGGGAAGCATACTAGCCGCGGGTGGCAGCCGAGGTGCTAGCGGGAATCCCTGGCCCCGTGGCAGCCACTGCTGCTGAGCACTTGGAGCTGCAGTAGAGGGGGATTCTCTGTTTGCGTCAGATGTTTTGAAATGGGCTCTGCCACTGGAGCAGGTCCAGGAACATTGCAATCTGCTCTTATCAATTATTAACCAGCTCAGGAGTCAATGGTAGCCAGCCGACCTCAGCCTGGTAGCTGGGGTCCTCATTGTCCTCCAGTGATTATTCTCTAGTAACCAGGTCTTCCCTACCTCTCTCTCTCCTGACAGAGTCTTTTCCTGACATTTCTCTGAATAACGAGAAGGTGATGGTGGAGACGAGTTACCCTAGCCAAACCACGCGGTTACCTCCTATCACCTACACCGGCCGTTTCTCTCTGGAGCCTGCACCCAACAGTGGCAACACCTTATGGCCTGAGCCCCTCTTCAGCTTGGTCAGTGGCCTGGTGAGCATGACCAACCCACCGACCTCCTCATCCTCAGCACCATCTCCAGTGGCATCCTCCTCTTCTTCGGCCTCTCAGAGCCCACCCCTGAGCTGCGCAGTGCCATCCAATGACAGCAGCCCAATTTACTCAGCGGCACCCACCTTCCCTACGCCCAACACTGACATTTTCCCTGAGCCACAAAGCCAGGCCTTTCCAGGCCCAACAGGCGCAGCGCTCCAGTACCCGCCTCCGGCATACCCTGCAGCCAAGGGTGGCTTCCAGGTTCCCATGATCCCGGACTACCTGTTTCCACAGCAGCAGGGAGACCTGGGCCTGGGCACCACAGATCAGAAGCCCTTCCAGGGCCTGGAGAGCCGTACCCAGCAGCCTTCTCTTACTCCACTCTCTACGATAAAGGCCTTTGCCACTCAGTCGGGGTCCCAGGACTTAAAGACTCTCAATACAACCTATCAGTCGCAGCTCATCAAACCCAGCCGCATGCGCAAGTATCCCAACCGGCCCAGCAAGACACCACCCCACGAACGCCCCTACGCATGCCCAGTGGAATCCTGTGATCGCCGGTTCTCGCGTTCGGATGAGCTTACTCGCCACATCCGCATCCACACCGGCCAGAAGCCCTTCCAGTGTCGCATCTGCATGCGCAACTTCAGCCGCAGTGACCACCTCACGACCCACATCCGCACCCACACAGGAGAGAAGCCCTTTGCCTGTGACATCTGTGGGAGAAAGTTTGCCAGGAGTGATGAACGCAAGAGGCACACCAAGATCCACTTGCGGCAGAAGGACAAGAAAGCAGACAAAAGTGTTGTGGCCTCTTCGGCCACCACCTCCCTCTCTTCTTACCCATCCCCCGTGGCTACCTCTTACCCATCCCCAGTTACTACCTCTTACCCATCTCCGGTCACTTCATACCCATCCCCTGTGCCCACCTCCTACTCCTCTCCCAGCTCCTCTACCTACCCATCCCCTGTGCACAGTGGCTTTGCGTCACCCTCCGTGGCCACTACCTATGCCTCCGTTCCTCCTGCTTTCCCTGCCCAGGTCAGCAGCTTCCCTTCCTCCGCTGTCACCAACTCTTTCAGCGCCTCAACAGGGCTTTCGGACATGACGGCAACCTTTTCTCCTAGGACAATTGAAATCTGCTGAAGGGAGAAAGGAAACAAGGGAAAAAGAAAAAGAGACACAAAGGAGAGGAGATGACCCAAGAGAGGGTCCTCTTAGGTCCGATGGAGGTTCTCAGAGCCAAGTCCTTCCCCTCCGGTTGGAGTGGAAGGTCTGTTGGCCAACAATCCTTTCTGTCCACTTCCCCTTTCCCCCAAATTCCTTTGACTTCAGCTGCCTGAAACAACCATGTCCAAGTTCTTCACCTCTCTCCAAAGAACTTGATTTGCATGGATATTGGATAAATCATTTCAGTATCATCTCCAGCATATGCCTGACCCCCTTGCTCCCTTCAATGCTAGAAAAACAAGTTGGCAAATGGGGTTTGGGCCCTTAGAGCCTCACCCCTGTATCCTTGTACAGTGTCTGTGCCATGGATTTTGTTTTTCTTGGGGTACTCTTGATGTGAAGATAATTTGTATTCTCTATTGTATTATTTGGAATCGGGTCCTCACTTTTGGGGAGGGGGGGAGAGAAGAAAAGCCAAGCAAACCAATGGTGATCCTCTATTTTGTGATGCTGTGACAATAAGTTTGAAACATTTTTTGAAACAGCAGTCCTAGGTATTAATCAGAGCATGTGTCGGAGTGTCGTTCCGTTAACCTTTTTGTAAATAACTGCTTGACTGTACTCTCACATGTGAAAAAAATACGGTTTTGTTTTTTTGAAAAAAAATTTTATTTGTCCTTTTGGTTAAAAAGTTTCACGTCTTGGTGCCTTTTGTGTGACACGCCTTGCTGATGGCCTGACATGTGCACTTGGGAGGGACCTGCTTACCTCTAGCCTTAAGGGGGGGCAAGGAGTGATGATTTAAGGGGAGGCTTTGGGAGCAACATAAGGAAGGGGCTGAGCTGAGCCTCGGGTCTCCAGAATGTAAGAAAACTAAATCTAAAACTAAATCTGAACTCTCAGAAGTCTATTTTTTTAACTGAAAAAATGTAAATTTATACATATATTCAGGAGTTGGAATGTTGTAGTTACCTACTGAGTAGGCGGCGATTTTTGTATGTTATGAACATGGAGTTCATTATTTTGTGGTTTAATTTTACTTTGTATATGTGTTTGCTTAAACAAAGTGACTGTTTGGCTTATAAACACATCGAATGCGCTTTATTGCCCATGGGATATGTGGTGTATATCCTTCAGAAAAATTAAAAGGAAAATAAAGTAGTTGTGATTGGGTATTTCCTGGGCCCCAGGGCAAAGTTTTACAGTAGCAGTCTTACTGGTGGTGGTCCTCAATATTCTAGAATCTGTACAGGTACAAGGGTACTCCAAGAGTCATGTCCATTGTGTTCCTGAAGTGTTCCTGAAGTGAATTGTTCATGAGCATTGAGACCAAGTTACATTTCCCCCTTCCCCAGTGTTGGGCATTAGACCCAGAACCACAGCGTCATGCTAATCATGTCCTTGACACTAGCCTATTCTGCCTCAAGCCATGGGGTGGGCTACAGCTTTACCTTGGTTAGTTAGAGCTAAAGATGACCACAGGGACCTATAGCTAGAGACAGTGCTCTCTCAACACCAACTGTTTGGATAGCTTCATTTCACCCCGCTACCTAGGACTGAGAAAACTTGCACACCTGGGGAGAAAAAAGGGGGCACCAAGGCTTTGGGAACCTACAAAAAGCTTAGTCAGAAAATAGCAAGTGAGGGCATCAAAGACAAAGGCCAGTTCTTAAGCCAAGAATCCTTCCAGGAAGAAAATCTTACCACTTGCCAGCTGGAACTGCCATCATTGGCAGTATCCTGGGACAGAGGGCAGAGTGAGCAAGATGGCCTGGTATCTTAAAGTTCTATTCAGGCAAGATGTCACCATTATGTAGAAGATGTGCAGTGCTAGGTTCTCTTGGCTCCATCCCCCAAGGGTCCACTTTCACTTCTGGAACAATTCTTGTGGGTATGCGAGCATCTGTCTTCTCTGTGAGAGGCCTTGACCTGACCATGATGGACGCAGCAAGAACAGCTCCTATTCCAAGAATACAGATTGTGAGTTAAAGAGACAGATGTAAGCCAAAATTACAACATGATGTTATAGATTATATAATATAGGGCTTTTTGAAGCACAAAGAAGAGTACCAACCCTCCCAGGGGCTTAGAAAAAGTGGAAAAAATTGGATTGGAAAGCCTAAGTAAGAGTCAAGCTAATTTTCTTGGGTTTTGCCTTGGGATTGTTGAATTTTTTTTTTGTTTCTTTTTTTTTTTGATAGAATTTTACTGTTAGTTATTAAGTTGTTGTACAGAGGGGTTACCATTGCATAAGTCAGGTAGTGAGTATGTTTCTTTTTTGGACAATGTTACCCCATCACTTTCTCCCATTTTCCCTCTCCTGTCCCTGCTCACAATTTACATAGTTCATTTCCCACATAGTGTGTACTGAACAGCATGATTGTATTTGTTGGTTGAATTTTTAACCCAGGAGCGAGAAGAGAATGGGTACTGAATGGAAGTACTACCTGATGTTTGAGTCTGGTTTGAACTGGTGAAACACCCCCATTCTCTGTTCCTTCCCTTCCCACTAAGGGTCTTCCCAGATTTCTTGACCCTTTTCTAGGGTCAGAGGAATTTTCACAGCCCCTTGGCATGTCAAATCCTTTTTTTTTTTGGGGGGGGGGGGGTCCGGTCGTGGGGCCTGAACTCTGTGCCTGGGGGCTGTCCCCTCAGCTCTTCAGCTCAAGGATAGCACTCTACCACTTGAGCCACAGCACTACTTCTGGCTTTTTTTGTTTGTTTTTTTTGCTTATGTGGTGCTGGGGAATCGAACCCAGGGCCTCAGGCATGCAAGGCAAGCGTTCTACCACTGAGCCATCTTCCCAGCCCCTGTCAAATCCTTTTGTGTTCTAGTCCTTAACCACCAACACTGTTCCCATCACCCACCCCCACCCCAGGTGCCTCAGCTTGAAGCACGGGCACCTTTTCTAGACAATAGCACGTCCCTGGATGAGCCTTGTGGTGAACCTGCAGGTCCCAATAGGACAAATTTGGGTTGGCACACCTTTACCAGCCCCGCCTGCTCTTCTCCCCCTTGCTCTAGGCTCGGGAATACAGGTCTGTGCCTGCTACACATTCTTTAGAGCTTCTCATCCCAGATTCTCAAGGAACAAGGTACAGCAAAAGTAAAATAAGAAAGAGTCTTCTTTAAGGCAAAGGCTTTTAGGTATCTCACTGCATCAGGATGAAATTCCCAGGCCCCATCTCAAAGCACACTTAGATGCTTTACATCTGAGGTGGAGTCCTGGAATTGGCCTTAGTAACAACACCATTCCTTTGTAGATGGCTGATTAAGAAACTGTCCAAGCTGGGAATATGGCTTAGTGGTAGAGTGCTTGCCTAGATGCATGAAGCCCTGGGTTCAATTCCTCAGTACTACCTAAACAGAGCCGGCAATGACACTGTGGCTCAAGTGGTAGAGTGATAGCAAAAACAGGCTCAGCGACAGTGCTCAGGCCCTAAGTTCAAGCCCCAGGGCTGGCAAAAAAAAAAAGAAAAGAAAAAAAGAAACTGTCAAGCTTGCTAATTTTTATTAATTCTAATACCAAGTTTCATTAGGTTTTGACAGTCCAAACTCACGTTCATTTATAGGGTTGAAATAGGGCACAACTAAAACTTACTGATTTTTACAGACCAGTAGTAAGAGTGAGTTGACATAAAAATAACTGAAGTAAGCTGGTGGCTCACACCTGTAATCTTAGCTAATCAGGAGACTGAGATCTGAGGATCTTGGTTCAAAGCCAGCCTTGGCAGGAAAACCCATGAAACTCTTACCTCCAGTTAACCACCAGAAAACCAGAGTTGTGTGGTTCAAAGTGGTAGAGCTTTAGCCTTGAGTAAGAAGAGCTCAGGGACAGTGCCGAGGTATTGGGTTCAAGCCCCACAGCTGACAAAAACAAACAAAACCCTGAAGTGTGGGGCTGAGGGTGTACCGTAGAGCACTTGCCCAACATGTACCGTAGAGCACTTGCCCAACATACTTGTAGCCCTAGGCTTCATAGTCAGCACCAAAAAGATAATAACAGAAGTATTGATAATAACCCCCGTTCCTGGGAGGGAAATGTGAAAATAGAGGTACAGGGCAATGCTGATAAAATGGCTCATCATTGAAAAGGTTGAGGTTTGGAAACAATCCAGAGAAGGTTGAACAATGACTGCTACTTCGGAACTTGGTCTAGGGCTTCTGGAATGGGGGAAGGACAGAGAGCAGTAGGGAAGGAGAAAACAGAGAAGGGAGGGGGAACCCAGCCTTCTAAGGACCCAAGTAGGTCTCAAGTTAAAGAACCAGGTCTTGAGGATCCTTGGTCCTTCCTCCTAGTACCTGAGAGGAACTCTTCTATTTTGAACTTCAGGAATGTTCAACCTCAACCCTTTTGAAAGGTTCCAAGCACTCAGGAAGGCAGAGTTGGCTTGGTTGTCACCTTCCAGGCTAGCTGTGTGCTTTCTTCTACTTCCTCCCACTCACAGAGCCCACCACAGGAAGAAAGGGAACCAGATCTGACTATTAACAGAATCAGAGGTATTCCCTGCCGCATCCTCCCCAAACTCCAGCTGCCTTCGCAATTTCATGCTACATTTAGCTGGAGTTTGAGAAGGAAGACCTGGGCAGAGAACCCAGGGACCTAAGGGAAATGAGACCAAGTCCAGAAGAATCAGTCCAGACGTCAAATAAATAAGATTTCAACATTTTACCCAGAAACCTTGTGGTTCTAATAAGATTTTCACAAACATATATCAAACCTGACCAATACATCCGTTACTTTCCTTCCCCACTCTTCCTGGGGAAGCCTTTGTGGCTAAGCTCACTTGGGATGATTAAGTCAAGATGGTGGTTCAGCTCATTGGATACAGGTAAAATTTCTCATTCTCCTTTTCAGGGAGCTCTCTCTAATCAGGCTCATTCTTTCAGTATTAACAGCTTTTAAAAATCATTACTACAGGCTAAGAAGGTGGCTCAGTGGTAGAGTGATTGTCTTGCATGCATGAGGCCCTGGGTTCAATTCCTCAGCACCACACAGCAGAAAAAAACTGGAAGTGGCGCTGTGGCTCCAGTGGTAGAGTGCTAGCCTTGAGCTGAAGAGCTGAGAGACAGCGCCCAGGCCCAGAGTTCAGGCCCCATGACTGACAAAAAAAAACTACAGCCAGGCACCAGTGGTTCACTCCTGTAATACTAGCTACTCAGTAGGCTGAGATCTGAGGAACTGGGGTCGATGCCAGCCTTGGCAGGAGAGACTGTGATTCTCTCTCTCTTTTTTTTTTTGTCGGTCGTGGGGCTTGAACTCTGGGCCTGGGCGCTGTCCCTCAGCTCTTCAGCTCAAGGCGAGCGCTCTACCACTTGAGCTACAGCGCCACTTCCGGTTTTCTGGTGGTTTATTGGAGATAGGAGTCTCACGGTCTCTCCTGCCCGGGCTGGCTTTGAACCGCGATCCTCAGATCTCAGCCTCCTGAGTAGCTAGGATTACAGGCGTGAGCCACCAGCGCCCAGCTCTTTTTTTTTTTTTTTTTTTTTTTTTTGCTAGTTCTGGGGCTTGAACTCAAGGCCTGGGCACTGTCCCTGAGCTTCTTTTGCTCAAGGCTGGCATTCTACCACTTGAGCCGCAGCACCACTTCCAGCTTTTTCTGTTTATGTGGTACTAAGGAACTGAACTCAGGGCCTCATCTGTGCTAAGCAAGCACTAAGCCACATTCCCAAACCTGTGAGATTCTTATCTCCAATTAACCACCAGAAACCCAGAAGTGACACTGTGGCTCAAGTGGTAGAGCATTCGCCTTAAGCTGAAGAGCTCAGGAATAACCCCCAGGCCCAGAGTTCAAGCCCTAGCACTAACCAAAAAAAAACAAAAAAACAAAAAAACGAGGAGGAGGAGGAGGAGGAAGTAGCTGACATCTGAGGCTCACAGCTGGAAGCCAGCCTGGGCAGGGTAGTCCTTGAGACTCATATCTCTAACCACCAAAATCCAGATGTGAAGGCATGGCTGAAGTGGAAGTGGTAGAGCATTATCCTTCAGAAAAAGAAAGCTCAGGGACAGCACTCAGAACCAGTACACACACACACACACACACACACACACACAGACACACACACACACACACACACACACACACACACACACACAACCACTTTATTGAAGTACAACTTAGCTGTACATGTAAATTGTATGAATTAGGTTTGGGAATGT